AGTCCATAACGATTTCTATACTTTTCTTTAAGAATATTATATATATATGGAGCTATATTATATATAACCTTTATTTGACAGACATGCATCTAGGTTTAATGTTTGGCATGTGGGAAGCCAGTTTTCCTAGCACCACATGCTATTTTGAAGGGTGTGGTTTCCCTAATTCCCTATCAGCAAATTTGTTACATGTGTATAGGAAGGCTATTGATTTTTGAGTGTTGGTATTGTATCACACTACACTGCTGAATTTGGTCATTCTAGGAGTCTTTTAGTGATTTTGGGGGTCTTCTGTGTGGAAGATTATGTCATCAGCAGATAACTTAACTTTTTCATTTCTTATCCATATTCTTTTTATTTCTCTTTGTCTAATTGCTCTGGCTAATGTTTCCAGAACTCTCTTGAACAGGAGTGGTGATAGTGGGCATCTTTGTGCTTGATTTTAGAGTGAAAGTTCCAGTTTTTGACCAGTTAGTATGATGTTGACTGTTGGTGTATCACTGATGGCTGGTCTCTACTTTTTGATTTTGTGAATTTTTTTCTTTTTCTTTTTTTTGGTAACACTACAGGGTGTTCAGGGTCTCACTACTAGATTGAACTCCTAGTGATTCTCCTGTTTACAGCCTCCCAAGTGCTGGGATTACAGGTGCACGCCACCACGCCCAGTCTCCATTGCCCTCTCGGGGCAGGGCGGCGGTGGGGTGGGGCATGGCACAGCAGGCCTGGGGATCAAGGCCCTGCCACTGTGCCTGCTTGCAGGCACTTCAATCCACTGAGCTATTTGGCCGGCCCTTGATTTTGAGAATTTAATATATTTACATTTAAAATAATTGCTCAGGTGGGGCATGTAGGTTAAATGGTAGAATACTTGCCTAATATGTGTGAGACCCTCAGTTTGAAACCCAGGACTAACAAAACACTTTGTTACAAAGAAGGAATTCTGTCATAGTTTTGTTTCTGAATATATTATATACCCCCATATCCTCTATCACTGTTGATTTTTGGGTGTAACTTTTGTAGTAAGCTGTTTTGAGTGTCTTATTTCCATTTGTGTATATTATAAATATTTTCTTTGTGGTTACCATGGGTGATTATATTTAAATAATTTAGGATAATATGAGATAATAGGATAATAAACTCTATTAAATTAATACCAACTGAAATAGCATGTATCTTGATTACTTTTCTCTCGTTGCTGGGACAAAATACCTAAGACTCAAAATTAAGGAAGGAAAGGTTTATTTAGCTCACAGTTTGTGGAGCTTTCAGTCCATACTTGGCTGGTTCCAAGACAGTGTGGCACATGGCAGAGGGCAGCGGTTCATGGTAGCAGAAAACAGCAAAACAGCAAGAGCAGAAGGGAGGCAGGAGCAGGAAGAGCAAACCTCTCTCCCTTCCTTATATTGCATTCATGGTGCCTGCCCCGGGGGGGCGGGGTGTGTGCAGCACTCAAAGCTATAATCCCAGCAGCACTCATACCCATAATCCCAGCATTGGCTCATGAATTAATCACAAAATTTAGAAGCCCATCCCATGATTACATGAGGCTTTGGGGCAACATCTAGACACAAACCATGACATTCCTCCCCTGGCCCCCAGAGACTCATGCACATCCTTTTATGCAAAAGGCATTTTAGTCCATCTCTAAGAGCTGCCAAAGTCCTAACAGTTTCAGCACTGCTGAAAAGTTCAAGTTACAAGTCTCCAAGATCTAAGGCAAACTCTTAGCTGTGAGCTCCTGTACAAATGAAAAGTTAAATACTTCCAACATTCAATGGCACAAGAAACACATTACCATTCCAAAAGGTACACATGGCAGGGTACCAAGCATTGGGACCCAAGCAAATCCAGAATACAGGAGGACAAATACTAAGTCCTGTAAGTCCATGTGGAACATCCAAAACAATCTGTGAAGAGTTGTGAGCTCCAAAGGCCTTACGTGGCCCCACCTCTATGGCACTTCTGGGGTTTTATTTCCTGTGGCTTCTCTTTTAGAACTGCTTTACATGTTCCACGTTCCTGGCTTTTCAAAACTTCTGAAGTTCCCACTGCACTTTAGGCTTCTCACTCACAACCTGACACACTGCCCTTCCAGGGCACATTGCCTGGCCTCTCAGGCCTTCTGGAATCTAGGTGGAAGCCTTCTTAACCTCAGAACTCTTGCATTCTGCGTGTGCCAAAGCTAACGCCACATGGATAATGCCAGGATCTGCTGCTAGCTGGAAAGTAGCCAGGTTTTCTCTGCGGGGCTGTAGTGGTGGAGCCCTGCATTGCTGAGCACTCTCAGCCTGATTCTGAGTAGCAGATTTGCTATAATGCCACCATTCTGGAACCTGGTGTGGCCACTGCCTCCATTCTGGAACATGGTACTCTGTGGCTTCTCACAGGCTGTGCTCTTTTTGGTGGAACCGGGGATTGAACTCGGGTCCTTGCGCTTGCCAGACAAGCACTTATTCTACTGAGCTATCTCCCCGGCCCTCCTGCTGTGCTCTTGATTCTCAACATAAATCTGACAAAATGCCCCCAACAATAGCCATGCTGCC